ATCATTATTCCCCTGTAACCCATTATGACCATACGGGGAAATATAACAAAAAAGAGGAAAACATTCCCCTTAAGCAATAGATACTTTTCGGGGAATTATAACATATTCTCCGCAAGCTACAGTTATGGTTAAAAAACTTAAAGGGAAGGCAAAAAAAGTTATATTCTTCATTTAATCTTCGAATTCGGATTTGAAGCTACAGAACATTAATTTATTTCCAGAAGATATTATTGACCGAAATACTAAGTGATTGGGTCTTTCTTGTGACCACCATGAACATTGCCCTTAAGTGCCAGTTTTAGATGATTGCGCTTCCTTCCCCTTAAGTCGCAGATAGAGTTATTATTATTATTATTATTATTATTATTATTATTATTATTATTATTATTATTATTATTATTATTATTATTATTATTATTATTATTATTATTATAAGACTGAGATCAAATAGAAGTAAATAATGCCCTAATTTGAAACGATGCAATGCCGTTATGGTTCCGATTTCTTCACAAACTTACAAAGCAGTATTGTTACTCCATGGATCATAGTGATACTGTTTATGTTTTTTGTATCTGTATGTTAATGAGCCGCCAGCCAATATCCATCTATGGATACTATGCCTGTTTCTTTGAGGTAAAAAAAAGCATAGTTTGTACGTATTCATTATGCTTTATAATGAACAGACATGTTGTTCAAAGTTTAATCGTTATTTGTTTGTTGTTTATGTGTTCTATTCACAAATGGCCACAGAGGCTGTTTTCATTCATAACCACATACCCCTATCAAGACAACAAAGACTATACCTGCGTGTACACAGTTGACATTGGTTTTTTTTTTTCTGAAGAGGTGTAACAGCAAAATTCACAGAGATAAATAAATACGTAGTGTGGTTCAATATGCAATACTATGTGTCAGTCCATTCTGTATTCGTATGCCACGGTGTGTAGATCTTGTCGATGTACGTCTGTCCATTCAAGGCGTAGTATGTGTGTGTGTGTGTGTGTGTGTGTGTGTGTGTGAGTATGGGGTGTGTGTGTGTGTGTGTGTGCGTGCGCGCTTGTGTGTGTTATTTTACCTCATTAAGTATGCATCAGATTGCACGATTTCAAGTTCAAAATTGCAAAAGCTCCCTACCGTGGGAGGGGGGACACCCCCCTCCCACACCCTCGCTCGGGCGCTTCGCGCTCTCACTAGCGTTGGCAGCCCAGTCATCCCCCCAGGTGTACGAACCTGTCTACGACAGTGATAAACATTATAATGTTAATGTAACTTCAAATGCACAACATTTTCCATTAAAGGGACTTTGTCACATTGTTAAGTGGTGCTAAGGTAGTGACTTCAATACTCGATGTACAATTAAAGATAATCGGAAAATTTGAGTGAAAACGGACGATTATTAATGATACAAATTGGGAAAAACTGATCTGATCGATTCCTTTATTCTCCCAACCATATTATTACAATTGAATTACATTTTAGGTAAATGTAAATTGCCACAAAGCAAAAACTTGGCTCTACATACCATTCCAGATTTTTTTTATTGCCTGTTTCATGTCTTTTTCTCATTGAAAAACGGTTGGGAAAATTCAAAATGGTTGGGAAAATTTACTGTTGATCACTGTTAGAGGGTGTTGACCAGTGTCGCCTTCTTGGAAAACCATTAATATCTTTGTGGTTTGAGAATTTTTTCAGGATTTTTTGCATGTTAGAGGGTTAGTACATTAAAAGGAAGATAATAAGTAACATTTGATAACAAATTTACAAAAAAAAATATTCAACCTTCATCAATGTTACCAAGTCACTTTACGATATTCATCAATGCACTAATTAGAACAAATGAAGGTGAAAAATACTCGTTATAAAACTTGACATTACCTGTACTTTAAATGCTGAACAAATTCAAATTCAAATTCAAACTCAAATTCAAATTCAAATTTAAACTTTATTTATTTTAATCCGATAGGATCATGATAATGAGTAAACAATTAGTTTCTCCTCATCTTGTGGCCGATGTCACCACAAATCCCATCCTCCTTGGAGTCAACGATGACCCACCCATAACTGCCCAATTGCGTATTTTTGGTCATATTTTTTTGTATGTTATCAGGATACTACCATTCTTTCTTAGAATCGTGTACCTGATCAGATCGACAAGATAGTTTGACCTGTTTTTTGTTTGTTTGTTTGTTTGTTCGTCTAGTTTTGCTTGTACTTATTTTTTGTCATTGTTACTCTTTTTTCTTTTCTATTTTTACCTTCATTGTGGTCGTTCTCTCTTTCTCTCTCGCTATTCGTGTATACATTCCCTTATTTGTCTTTATTTCGCTTTTTTGTTCTCATTTTCCTATCCGTCGCCCTAATCCACCATTTCTATGTCTCTCTCTCTCTCTCTCTCTCTCACAATCTCCCTCTCTCTTTTTTGTTCTTATCTTCATTTCGCTTTCTTTTTCTTCTTTCCGTATAGATAGCCCTACTTCCCAATCTCTCTCACACACAAACACAGACCCCCGCGCCCACACACACGCATACATACAAACACACACATACACAAATAATCTAACTCTCTATCTCTCTCTCTCTCTCTCTTTGTTTGTGTTCATATTGTTCTCTTCCATTCTCTGGATATTCCATGCCCCTCCTTTAATATTTCAGTAGCATCATCAAACCAATTCCACACCGCTATCACGCATCGCACCTCATGAGCCACTTTAACAAGAAACACATTAACAATTTAATGTGATGTTCAGGAGTTTATTTCATTTAACTATTTCAATTTTCTTTCACTGCGCAATGATAAAAAGACATACAAACATATCACGCTTAATCTTTTAAGCGCCATCTCAGGTCGGCTGTAGCAGTAAGGTCCCGAAACTCGCTGCTTCCATAGTTATAACTACCTTTAAATTGAACTAGATTGAGTCAAACTTAATGCAAACACCCAGCACATTATACAGGATTTACAATCGCCATTATTGTTTGATCTCGGAAACTGCGGAAAAAAGATTTTCATGTGGAAAGGTTTGCTCGGGTTTTTCTCATAAAAGAAGTTGACCATAAACTAACTCTCAAACAGTGTTGGGTACAGGGGTCACGGGCCACTAGTTTCATCGGGCAGGTTGTTCCATTATGTGAATGGGTAAATTCTTACAAAAATATACATCCAATCAAAACAAGTTTAATACCAGAAGAAAGCTAACGATTAGTAAATTCATTACAAAGCCGCCTGACCACAATGGAACGAGTGAGGGGTTGCGAGAGCTGCAGAAGTGCGCTATTTTGCTCTTCTCCAACGCAAAAAATGACGACATTGAGTGATTTCAAGTTTGGTGTTAGTGTTAGTGTTTAGAGCAGTCAAGAGCTCTTAAATCGAGCGGAGAATTTGCTGATGAAATTAAGAGCCCGATACCGATATCAAAATTGATAGTTTAACACCAGCCGTGACGTCACTACATACTTGATTTTACGACAATAGTACATCAAAACTAAAGATATCATGAAAAGTACAGAATAAATTTACACCTATTTCTCTGGTCTTAGAAAATAACTAATTTTACACGAAAAAATATAGGAATTACGTGTTTCACATATTTTTATTTGATCGTCAGACAATAAATTGGCGTCGTTCGTGCGTTGAATGTGTGCGGGTACAACACTAACACCGAACTGGAAATCAACATTTGCTTAATCCCTAGGGGCTAGTGTTAGTGAATAGGACATTTGTACATAAAATATTAACACCAGCCACAAAGGTCGATTCAGCAGACGACAATTTTGAGAGGTCAAAGCCTTAACACCAGCTGATTTCCATTTCGGTGTTTAGGCTGGTGTTAGTGTTTATTAAACACTAACACCAACCTTAAACATCCAACTTGAAATCACTCATTGTGCTGGGTTACTATGTTTTTTTCCGACAAAAGTACAGAGAAAGTGCCATATATTTTTGTTATACAATAATCTTTGAAAGGTTAACTAGGTGACTCCCGGGCACCCACATGCTGGAAACGCAATTTTTTAGAAAACTTCTCTTTTTTAATATGCAAAAATGCGTACTTGTTCTATGCACGTGGGATGCACGTAAGTCGGATTGAGCGGATGATACAACGCTTCCATAATTTCATGTTGAAAGTGAAGGTTGAAGATGCGCAAATAAATTCATAACCCGACGCAAAAAGAAAAAAAAACGAAAATTGAAGTTGCAATGTAAACAATTGCCAAATCCTTTTGAGATTCCCCTGCCACAAAAAAAGTGAAATATATAACAAATAAGCCCCTCGGGGAGAATTTAATACTCTCCGCTTAGTACCGATTTCATTGTTAATAATGATATTTATATTTATAAGGTAGATATAATTAATTGCATTGACTTTTCTAAATTCGCACACCTTAGCGGCGTGCGCGCCCCCTCGCACACTAGAGTTATACGTACAAGAGAATTGTGAAGGGATTCGTGAAGTGAGCATGCGCATGAACTCTTAGGTAAAATATCAAAAACGACCAGAATCTGGTCTGATGTGTGACCAGGGGGGTGTTTCAAAAATATTTAAAGGGTATTAAAATGTTCCAAGTAAATGAACTTCTGGCAAGGTTGAATGTACAATTCATTTTGCTTCTCGTTGAGTAGAATTCCATTTCTAAAAAGAAAGCGTAAATATTATAGGCCCTACTGTTTATCAATAGTTTGTCATTATTTAGCATTTGTTTTTTACGACTAATTTAATACACTAACAATCTGACTTGACACTTTAAACAACTTTTACAAGAATTAAATGAAATTCTATCCTTTTCTTTTAAAATTAACAACCAAAAACTAATCAATTTACAGCATACTGCTAAGTATCAGTCATTCCAAAATCACAATCACATCAATTATTTCTGCGACTTGATTTATTGCAATGATTGTACAAATCACCCACTTTGGCAGTGATTAACATCATAATGAGTATGTACCTCTAAATGCACAAATTTGTTCTTAAAGATTATAAACGCACAAAAAAAGGTTGAACAAATGAAGAAAAGAAACAATCAGTATAAGACTTGACATTCCACGTAGTTTAAATGTTGTGCACGATAATGATGAAACGATAGCATGTGTAATCAAGCCAATGAAGTATAAACAAGTTTTTATACAAGAAAACTCACAGCACTTGGTATTATTACAATGGGTTACAAGCATTAAATCATGGACCTACTACGTAGAAGGTCAATGATTAAATTCTGCCCGCAACTTCATCCTTTTTTAAATCACCACCATGGGAAACAGCAAGTAACAACCACTTCACAGCAAAAATGGATGCACACCAAAAAAAAACCAAAAAAAATATTATGTTCCTATAAATTATCAAATGACGATGCAGCATAAATCTTTGGCAAATAGTTAGAAATATAAAGAATCATAGAAACTAGAGATTAGTTCCTGTTAATAAGAACATTTACACTGTCTACTGCCCTCTTTTTTTTTAGAGTTGTAGGTGCATCTGATGTATGTTAATTACGCATTCAATATATTTGTTTAATTTCGTTTATTATCTGTATAAAATTATATATTGTATCAAACCATATTATGTTCATGAAAATGTATGATAAAAAAAGAAAAAGATGCAGAAACCTATAAATCAAATCAAATCAAATCAAATGTGTATCACAATTTTAATGTCATTTAGAATCAAATCAATATTGACTCCGGTTGACGATAGCAACGGTCAAAGACGGCCTATAAGCAACTCCTAAAACTCGAATACAAGTCCAGAGCCAGCCATTTCCTTATCGTACAGCTCGTCAAATCGCTTGTTCTGTTCGTCAGTGAAATAATTCTTCCAGTCTCCAACCACACCTTGTGAGGAAATGAATGTAGGATGATAAAAAGAAAATAGGAAGAAAGAAAGATTATTATTATTATTATTATTATTATTATTATTATTACTATTACTTATACCGCGCTTTTCCCATAAGGCCCAGAGCGCTTACAGTCAATGAAAATAAAAAAAAATAGAAAGAAATGAATGAATAAATAATGCCAAATAGGTATGAATATGACACACAAATATTATATAAAATAGATACAACAATTCAACAGAAAATATTTTAAAATATATTGTGGGAATATAATATAAAGTGGGAAGAAGGGGGAAGATGCATTTAGAGAGAGAGAGAGAAGGAAAATGAAAGGAATACAGAGAGAATGGGTAAGAGAGTTGAATAATGCTAGCTGAAATTGGAAAGAGGGAATACAGACAATCAATTTAAGAATATATTTTGTATTAATATCAAAGTCCAGGGGTGAATCTAGCTCTTTTGCTAAGGGGGGGTTAACCCAATGGCGATGCAGAGCATCGCCTACGAGCCGCAAAGCGGCGAGGCGATTTTTTTTTTAAAAATTTTTTTGTGTTGCTATTTTGAAAGAGAGTCCACTCTCATTTACTCCAGTAGGATGGGGAGGATCATTTTGTTTTTCCTTTTGGCAATGCATTTTCTTACATTATTTGTGTGATCTTCTTAATATACCTTTCCTCTAAAAGGATCCACTCTCATTTATTCCAGCGGAAGGGGAAGGGGTCATTGTCGATTCGTTGTGTCTTTTGCCAATACAGTATCAATTATGTTATTATCTAGTACCTTTTCTCATGAATGAGGGTTTACTAGATTGTTCGAGTCCGGACTCCTGTTTGCCCTTCTTCAGCAGAGTGTCGGGATTCGATGAAGGGTTCTTCTTCATTGCCTTAAACGTCGAAGCTTTCGCGATTTTCTCGATGACGTCATCTGAAAGGGACTTTCCCATGAATTCAGCAATCTGTCGTACAGCTCCTTGTAGGTCCTAAAAGTCGAATGAGGAATTGAGAATTATTTTATTTAATTGTATTTATCTAAACAAATTCACCATTGAAATTCCTCTATTCGACGTGACTCTTATCATTACATTACGTTATTTATGATATATTTGTGTTAATATTTTATCAAGTTACAGACATTGTTGTTGTTTCTATTATATAAAGCGCTTTGTATCTATCAGAAAAGGCGAAATAAAAATAAGTACATTGTTGTCTGGTAATTTTGTTATTATCATTAGCAGTAATATTATTATCATTATTATCATTATAATTTTCAGTGTCATTACAATCATTGGTACTTGTAGGAGAAGTAGAGGTAGTAGTAGAAGTAGTAGTAGTAGTAGTAGTACCAGTAGTAGTAGTACCAGTAGTAGTAGTAGTAGTAATAGTAGTAGTAGTAATAGTAGTAGTAGTAATAGTAGTAGTGATAAAATAATTATTATTATCACCATCACCATCATTATAAGTATAAGTATTATCATGATTAGTATGAGTATTATTGTTGTTATTGTTTTACTTGTTCTTTTTTTTTGTAAATATCTAAAAGAAATGATTCAACGAAGAATATAATCTAGTACGTCTACCCGAAGATATCTACCATCTTTTGGGGATAATATTCTAAGGGGGCTTATCGATGAAGGAGCTACTGGTTCGGGGATACAACTAATGCACATTTGCCACTCTCAACCCAGGTGTTAAATGGTTTCCTGATGGGATTTATTCCTTGAAATGCACTCCTTGCTGATTACGGCTGTCAGAGCTAAAGGAAGGGTCGTAATATCCAAACTTGTTTGGAACCGGACGTTATATCATAATGCGCTATAGAAGAACGGTTTATTATGATCATTAGTTTTTATCATAGAAGATATTGTTTTTTGTAATTACATGTCCTTGAAAGAGAGTCCAGTTTTTAATTGTCAGGACCCATTTATGGTACAAGGTTGAAATCTATGTATGTACTCCTGTCCCTCTATTTTAGTTTTGCTTGAAAATGTTCGACAATTTTCTCATATTTTTTTAAGTAAATTGAAAGTCAAATGAAAATATCATATTTCAGGTGATGTTATCTAAATTGGCGTTTATAAAGTTTTGGAAGTAAAACGAACTGCCAATTTAAACCGATACTCTCGTCTTAGGCGAGAACTGAAAGACAGGATGTTTCAGAAAAGGATAACAGGTATAAAAACATGAATTCCTCTAAATTACATCATTTCGGTTGATGACAGATACAACTCACCTTCTTCATATCTTCGTACTTGAGAAAGAGAACGTTTGGATGATTTCTTCTCTTCCACCATGGCAACACGTTTTCAAACCAAGATCCTTGAAGAGCTGAGGTAAAAAAGAATGCGATCACAATGACTTTCATAAATCATCTCGAGAGCAATTTCAATAATTAGTGCCATCATAATTCTGTTTGAAGCATGTATTTTCAGTGTACCCGTATTTTAATGCCATACTGTACTAACAGCATTAACGCAAAATCCCCTCTAAATAGCGCCATCTCAAGTCAACTGTAACAGTAAGGTCCCGGAGGCGTCTTATTTTTTCGTACCACGGCGAGTCCAGATTGATTTCGCGAGGTAAACCTGCGCATGCGCACTCGCAAAGGAAACCAGCGCATGCGCACGTGGAATTCGATAGGGTGGTTAATAGGGTAATGGTAATTATACAAATCAATCCGTCATCAACCCATCGTCAGCTCAATCGGTAAGGACAGCGTGTTACTAATAGAACTTTGGAGTTGCCGTGAGGGTTCGAATCTCAGTTTATTTAGTTTTTTTGCATTTATAAATAGTGAGGCAAGCAATAAATAATCAAAGTCGAATTGTTTGTGACCTCTTTGCAAGCTTTCGTAGCTTGTTATGTATGAAAATGAATTCATACGGGAATCTGGGCTCGCCGTGGTACGAAAAAATAAGACGTGTCCCGGAGCTTGCTGCTTCCCTAGCTGCGATGTTGGTTTTCGCATCGCTTTCACTATGAATATGGCAGACAATGAAAGCGGACAAAATATACAGTTCCTCAGGTAAACAAAGGAACATCCCTTCACTGCTATTATGTAAAAATGTGTAGAACGGGTGAATATGCAAGTGACACCTGTTCTACACATTTTAACATAATAGCAGTGAAGGGATGTCCCTTTGTTTACCTGAGGAACTGTATATTTTGTCCGCTTTCATTGTCTGTCATGTTCATAGTGTTTTTTACGTCCCAGGCACAGGTGACGCCAAATTCTTAATAATAATAATATCCTATAGAAACAACGTTCGGATTACGTAATACCTCATTAGTCCGATCAAACATTTCAATAAGTAACTGACAAAGCTTTTGAAATAGTCTTCGGCTGATTTTTCGAAAGTATCTGCGATCACGTTCAGTTTCCATTTGCCAGAAATGATCCCTTCTTGAGTATAACATTCTAAATGACGACTTACCCCTGTTAGCTAGAAACTCTTCAAAGAACATATCCCAAGAACCATAGGTTGGCAGGGTCGGAACGTATTCACAGAAATGGTAGTAGGAAACAGCCGTATCCTTTGGGTTCCGGGCTACGTAAACCACCTGCAGATCAATTCAATCGCCATTTTCTTATTAAAACCACATTTTTATCCATAATGTGTCATTGTGAAGTGACTCGGTGCAAATTATTACATGCACCTGTTACATTATAGATCATTATCTAGTGAAGAACCCAGGAAGTGGGGATCATTCCAGCCCAAAATGTTGAGTTTTCCCTGCCCAGCCTGCTACAGCCCGTTGCTTGAATGATTTCGTGCTGAACCTCGTGCGCATGCTCTGTCTTTTTAAACCAGTAGCCTGGACGACGCGCTAGTTTAAAGGGCCACTCTAACCCAACTAGTATAGCCTTTCAAAACATGAATACACCTCTACTTATTATTATTCCAGCCTCCGATTTTATTCTATATCTGACACGTCCGGAGATGGTGGCCTGTGACAAATTAGGTCTCGTTAATGTCACTAAGGTATTAAAGTTGCTCAAGCGTGGATATATAGAGGGCAGCACAGGGACGTACGCACCAGAGCCATCAATAGAGACTTTTAGATTGAGTGGACGAGAACACGACGAACGCCGACTGATCATGCGTGTCAACGTACTCAACTTCCCATGTTGACTACAATTAGAAATCTCTTAGATTGCACTCGACGATATACATGCATGCAGGAAGTAACACTATGAATATGACGGACAAAGAAAGAGGACAAAATATACAGTTCCTCATTCTACCCTCAACAATTGCTGTGGTAGAACATCCTTCACTGCTATTATGTAAAAATGTGTAGAACAGGTGAATATGCATCTGACACCTGTTCTACACATTTTTACATAATAGCAGGGAAGGGATGTTCCTTTATCTACCTGAGGAACTGTATATTTTATGCGCACGCCGCATATACTAGTACCGCAGTACCGTACTAGATTTAGGAAAATCAAGGTTGACGCATTCTCGATCGCCGACTAAAACGACGTAACGCATGCGCAGTGTCTTAAAATTACGTCACACGTTGCAGTCAAAGCTGTCGACGTACAAATCTAAAAGTTTGGCCAATCGGGTTTGAGTTGGACACAATATAGCGACTTCTGCTTTGTTGGGCAAGCACAAAAATAAAGAATATACGCCATGTTGTGACCCAGTGAAACCAAGTTGGCTAAACTATGTGTATAGAAGGCTCTGGTACGCACGGTTGCGTAATACCCGTTGGCTAAGTGTTATGTATAGTCAGGCGCGTGCGCAGGATTTTTTCAAGGGGGGGGGGGGAGGGTAACATTTTTAAATTGGGCCGAAAATTTCGCAACGACTCAGCCAGCCGCTGAGCGGAGGGGTAAGGTCAACTTTTTAGGTGTGTATTTTGGAGGAAACCCCCCCCCCCCCCCCCTTGGTAATTTTGTTTTATTATTTATTTTTTTTATTTATTTTATTAAGCGGGGGGGGGGTTCCTCCAAAATACACTCATAAAAATACCAAAAGGGGGTTAAACCCCCGCCCCCCCCCCCCCCCCCCCTGCGTACGCGCCTGTGTATAGTTGCCTACTTCACGAACATCTCTAAAGTGACTTACGCGGCGGTTGCAATGGAGAAAAATCTCTGTTTGTTGAAGCTGTAAAATAGTTTGTGACATACGAAATCACGTCCCATCGAAGTATATTGAGAATCAGCGAAATAGCCAGGTCCTCGGCAAAAAGTGTAACCACAAACTTACCTTAGCTTTCGGATCATCGGTGCTGATACCCTCGGGTAGGAAAGTCGAGTGGCAGTGAGATTTGAGTATCCTTGGTGACGCCATCTTTTCAGCCCTGTCGATTACTGGCGGTGACTAAAATGACGTCACAATATAAGAATAGTCATTATCAATTCAGTCAATATGATAACAGTCAAGATGAAAACAGTGAGTACGGAAATGATCAAATATTTCCATATAAAATAGTCGATGAGAAAAACAGCAAGTAATAATCACATTTCAATTGTGAATTAACATGCTGGAACTTACGCTCTTATGCTCTTATTCAGATTCAGATTAATTTTATTGGTCCATTTGGAAATTCATTTGTTGGCGTTACATAGGCACATGAACAATATACAATAGAAAATAATATACACAAATAGATAATATACAGTAGCAAATGTACTATGACAAATTACAAATTCATATGGAAACATGTACAATGACAAATTCATATAGAAACATGTACAATGACAAATTCATATGAAAACATTAAGTCGTTTTTACATAGTGGAATTATATAAGAACAGTAGAATAGATAAATAAATGGACTTCCAAAACTATTGAAAATGTACGATTGCGTAGAATTTGGAAGTAGTATTGTTGTTATATTTTATTATTATTATTTTTATCATTATTATCATCATCATTATTATCGTTATCATAATTATTATTGTTACTATTATTATTATTGTTATTATCATCATTATCAACAGTATTTATTGCATGTATCATTTTTTGTCACGGTTTTATAGCTGAATCCTTTCTTCTTTCTTTCCTTCATAAATTAAACGGTATATAACTACAACTTGGAATAACATATGGCATCATAGGGTATTAATTATTTATTTGCTCGTGATACTGGTACATTCGGTTGAAAAGGAAAGGAAAGGAAAGGGTACAATGCAAATTGATGACTAGCGAAGTGGGAAGATACAGGCTTATTCAAATTGACTGGAGTCAGTGGCGGATCCAGGGGGGGGGGGGGCCCGGGGGGCCCGGGCCCCCCCCCCCCCCCCTTGAGAAAAAATCATGTAAAATCACGTGATTTTTACCTTTTTTGGGGGTTGGGCCTCCCCCCCTGGCGCTCAAGGGGGGGGGGGGGGGGGTGCAAATTGAAATTTTTTTTGAGGATCAAAAAAAAAAAAATGTACTCACTACCCCCCCCCCCCCCCCCCCCCCCCCCCCCCCCCCCCCCCCCCCCCCCCCCACTGAGCGAATTTTTGGCCGGCGCGTTTTTCAAATTTTCGGGAGCAAAAAAAAAAAAAAAAAAAAATTGTGCTCTGTACCCCCCCCCCCCCCCCCCCCCCCCCCCCCCCCCCAACACGGAGCGACTTTTCGGCCGGCGCGATTTTCAAATTTTCGGGAGCAAAAAAAAAAAAAAGTTGGGCCCCCTCCCCTAAGAAATCCTGGATCCGCGCCTGACTGGAGTTGTTCATTGTATTTACGAATGGAAAGCGGGACAAAGGAATTAAGGAATCGTGAGGTTCGAGCCTTCATTGATCTGTACCGCTTCCCCGATCGCATTAGGGTATAGCAGTGATGAAGGGGGTGGTTAGCATTTTCCAAAATCTGGGATACCTGTTTCAGTATTGTACACACGCATTCCTGTTTCAGATCTGTCACTTCGCCAGTCATCTTGCTAGCATGATTGGATATTCTCTGCAGTTTCTTAAGGTTATCCTTTCTGCACCCACCGTACCAAACCGCACAACTAAAAAGCATTACACTTTCTATTACTGACTTGTAGAATAACATCTTATAACAACAACGGAAACATTAAATTAATGTGTGACGATGCAATGGTAAAATGGCTCATGCGCTTGACTCTCAATCCAGGGTTAAAGGTTATAATTCCAGCCCGGCACTAATGTCCTGCGGCAAGACATTTATCCACACTTGCCACTCTCCGTCAATGGGTACCTGGTGGCTATTGCTGTGGTAATAATATAATTACAGGACCCGCAGTATTGATACTGATGTGGCTATAATCTGGGTATTAAAATAATACCCAGTTATTATTATTTAATATCATTACATTGATTAATAATAATAATAGCATAATAGTCCACTCCAAATTTTATTAAACCAAAACGGAAATTCTTTTTGTCCAATTGATCGTGAGCCCGGCAGCCACTGAGCAGCGCCAGATCGACGTTGCTCTATCCCTTATTATTGTTGAACGCCAAACAAGGTAGCAACAACTCCCATCTTTTAACGTCTTTTGGTATGACGCGGCCGGGGTTCGAACCCACCCACTCCGATTGTACTTACCGATGCGTCTAGGGGGTTTTCCACGATCTCAAGGAATGGAACTACAGTCATGATATGGGTGCCGTCCAATTTACTGGTATCACCGTCATGATTAATTAACAGACTCAGCTGCTCCAGCCACGTTGTGCCTTGTGTATGAAAATATAAATTGTCTTATCAAACGGCAGATACAGTTGGCCGAAACGACCCCGCCTATCGGCGTAGCCACAAGCAGGCGGAGGGGATGTGCCCTCAATCAAGTGGTGAACAGAAAAACAAAAGAAAAAGCAAGACAAGAGAGAGAAAAGGGGTACGGGGAAAGGAGGATAACGGAAGACGCCTGGTCCACCTCCTTCTCCCTCTTCCTCAGCCTCTAATCCCTGCTGCCCATTAGAAGAGTAGATGGAATATTTTCAATATATTATATCTATCTCTTCTGTGGCCAACAAATATACTCTTTTTTTTTAATAAATAAAATCATCTTTATTCAATATTGCTTTCGACTTTACAAAACATAACAAAACATATATAAATATACATACATAATATAACCAATAGAATCAACAACAAGAATGTAGCTGATTATATTAGATAGCTTAGACAGATACCGAGATGTGATTGGACCCAAGCTCGTCACGTAATATCAATTGCGAGGATCCAAATTGTTATATTTTCCTGGCCGGTTATATTTTACCAGCTGGTGAAATGAATATATTTTTAATCAATGCATGTCGCCCTCTTGAGGACTGTATGTCACCAATGACACACATTACACCATTACCGAGGGTCAATTTTTTTTTTCAATATTTTTTTTTATGATTTCTTTTTTTTTATAAGAATTTTTTTTTTTCTTGAATGATCTCGAAATGTTATTTTACAGCCAATTTTTGTTTGCACTTCTTTTTCTAAAATTTTGATTGTCGCCGAAAAAAAAAAATTTCGGGCAAAAAAAAATGGACCTACCCCCCCCCCCCCCCTATCAAAAAAAATCAAACCAAGGCTATCTAATATAAGTGATGCTTGCATTTCCATAATTTGATTAAACGAATTCGTTTTCATTGGCTGCCTGCCGTAGCAACAAACGGAATTGACAAAAGACTTAACTCCGTTCCGTTGACGATCAGACATAGACGAAAGACTGCTTGTTGCTACGGCAGGCAGCCAGTATAATGATTGAACTTTTTAAATAAAATTATCGAAATGCAAGCATCACTTTTAAACAAACAGAACTTTGTTAATACTTGCTCATTTTTCCTGATTGAGGCGTCATATGAAAGGGCAGAAACTGAACTTTCTAGAAATGTGAATTTTTCTTCGAAATTCAGATACCGCCTGCCAAATGACTTTTTAGTTTCCTACCTTCAAATTGCTTTTAATTATAATTGTGATTAAGTTATGATAAAACATCGATAATTCTCGGTTTCGTTTTTTTCTAGGTCGCACTGTATACTGAAAAAATAAAAAGAAGGAAAAAAAAGGGAGAAAATTATAGAAAACCAAAAAAAATGAATTACAAAAATTATAAAAATTATCAACAACAACAAACAAATCATTATAATGATTTTTTTTTTAAATTATGAAAAAATAATGAATTCCCGATATCGCGTGCATCCAGTAAAAATAACTACACGGTAATTGACCAATCAGATTGCAGGGATTCTTCTATTCATCTTATCATTTATTCTGTGACCGCCAGGGATGTTTTGAGCTAGGCCTCTAATGATTGTCCGAGTGAATGATTTATATTTGCACACCAAGTTTCAATAACCTAGTTAAATTGTGCATGTCCTCTGGACAAAATAATAATCTTTTTTTTTTTTAATCTTCCATTCTTAGGATCACAAGAAATATGTATGTCTACCTGACTTCGGATAGGTCACGATGAACATGTCATCGGGTCGACATTCGAATTTCCTGACGCGCTTCAGCACCGACAAGGGCATGAAGTGAGGCATAATGACGCCTTCGTACTCGTAGCATGTCTGGACCACGCAATCGGGGACCTTTGATGAAAAACCTGAACTCATGTTGCTGCCTGTATCTGAATAAATACATAAAAAATCGAGAAAAGGAAAGTGTATAAACAAAATTACCTAACGAATCATCTGGGTGTTGGATTTTTCCAGTCAAGGTTATTCATAATCATGAAAATGAATTACATGGCATTCTTATCTAGCAAACAGTGATGCTCGTGGGGTTTCGACTTCATTACATCCGTTATAGCGTGCGCTCAAGCAATAAACCTATTTGCACCTGGATGGAGAGTGGCAAATGTAGATATGTCTTGTCCAAGGCCGCGGGGGTCTCAGTCAAATATAAATACTGTAAGTATGCGTGATCAAGAAAACGCATATAAAGGAGTGCTTTTTTAGATTGGACGCGATCCGCGCGGTGCCGCATTAAGGGTTCAAAAACGTCCATTTTGGGCCATTTTCAAGAAAAAGGGTACTTTTTCAAAAATGGTTCAAGATTCTGCTCTTTGCGCCGGTATACGCTTGCCGGTCTTTAGATCTTCCCACGATACCGACCCAGACCTACCAAGCCTCACGCCTATAGCTGGTCTTTCATATTTTGTTTTGCATAGTAGAATATTAACTGTTCATTGTACATTGTGTTTTGTTTTTAAACACTGCATGTACTTTACATAATATAGATACAATTTCAAATGTACTTCTTTTTTTCAAAGTAAGGACTTATGATGGATGCATGTGCACTAAACCCATTTAGAAGTCATATATAGGTTGATGTTATTGTTTCTTTATTGAAATACATTTTTTTTACATCGTGAATTTACATCAGAAGCGCAATTTGATTAATTTTACATTGTCAACAACTTAAAAGTTGATCCCTATCGCCCTGCAAAATACTCAAGGGGATACAATAATTATTTACAATATTTGTTCCAGAGTACAATTTTTTTGGAAATACCCGTTTAGGGTGTGAATTCTTGAAAGAACCACGCGAAATCCTCATTTAGGGTGTATTTTGGCTTCAGAAGAAATCCTCGTTTAAGGGGTGTCTGATAAACCTGTGTTCGCTCATGCTTACAGTATGTCTACATGACTGAGACCCCCGGGCCTAGGACCCCAGTGCGGAGTTGGTATTTCGAACACTCAAATTAAGCTGATTGAATCTTTGCGCAGCACAAAACGTACGACTATACGGTACATCATACTATTTTCTATGCATAATTTTCGATACGCGTTGCGAAAATTCCTAACGGTCGATATAAATCCACTTACAGGCAGTTACCAGTTCTAATCCTTTAGGGGAGTTTAAAGTATAGTATTAATGACTGTTTTGAGAAACAACTATGTTTCGACAATTAAAGCAGTCATTAATACTTTTATATACCGAAAAGGGTCATAGAATACATGTGAGACTTACCAATCATGGTAATCAAGTTTGTTTACGCTATCGAGACAGCAGACAGTGTAAGGGCACACGGTACATACAAATACGTGTGTGGGACTATGAACGGGCTGGATTTTTTGTGTTACTGAAATGTGCTCAGAATTCAAGTAATTCATCTATTAAATGACTGTAACAGACAAGAAACAAGTCAAAGGTAAGGACACGAATCAGTGCTTATCAATATAACAGAAATTTTGCATGAAATACCATCAGGAAAGCTATCTAAATTTGTCAGAAATTAGCGACAAACACACCAAATTCAGCGCTGCAATGACGCACAAAACGGCGTAGAATTCAACTTTTCATCCACCAAATGAATTCAAACACTTGCATTATACAATCTTCAATACCTGTATCACCGTTAATCGCAAGCAATAAAATCACAATCTATAATATATCTAGACCTAGATCTACGGCTAATAATAAAACGTAGGGCCTATCCTTTTGGTGTTTTTGCTGTCTAGTGACCGATTCTTCGCACTGTACACACAGGCCCGAATTCACAAAGGAGGTTTGTCGACAAACCTCCTTTTGTTTCGACAAACCTCCTTTCAAGGTTTGTAAAAACGCGTCGAAACGCATCGTATGACGCACATAAACCTCGGTTTGTCCACAAACCTCCTTTGTGAATTCGGGCCACAATGTATGGTATCCACGATCGCTCAAACCAGTTTTTAAGCAAGACTGAACTATTCCCGGTAACTTGAATTTTACCCTCGAACTATTACATGGGCGTGGTATTTTTCGTTTATTTACGGGAATGGCTAAAACCATGACTGCAATTTCGACCAATCAGATGACTGGATTTCTTTAGTGAGGTATATAATTGGTATTATCTCTTGTTCACCATAGGATTCACACACGTTTATATTTTTCGCCTGCAAAAGGGACACACCCCCTCTAAGTATAAGTAGTTAATTCAGTGAACCTACACTCTACAAGCCCAGTTTTTAATTAGGTTCACTTTTCATCTGATTCAATGATTTACATTCTTTCTTGTCATTAATTACTATTATTCAGAATTACACTGTCGCTCATAAAGGTGGAATATTTTTTTTTAACCCAATTTATGGAATTATTTTATAAATGATTTAAAAATAATAGATCTAGATAATAGTATACATTCTCAGATTTTATTGAACAATAATTTGCGAATGTGTGCTTTGCGTGACTGCTAAAGCATATGTATGCTACTATGCTTATCAACTAGGGGACTTATGCCCTTAAGTCATAAATGACAGTAATGAGGATTAATGCCCCACAAAAGGGCACTAATATAGCACATCGACACGGTTTTGATCCTGGGGCCTCACAGTTACGAGGCCATTGCTTTGTCACTGAACCATGACTGTACGCAGCGGGGGCTAGGGTAGGGGGCAGTTTCCATAAATTAAAAAAAACACAGAAAATGCAATAAATTTTCAATAATTTATTGTTCCGGTTCCGGTTCCCAACATAAAAAAATCTTCTGTGTGCCCATGCCTTGAGCCATAATGCATGGCAGTCCAGAGGATTTTTTTTATGTTGGGGACCGGGGTAAAATGCAATAAATTATTGCAAATTTTTTGCATTTTCTGTTTTTTTTTTAATTTATGGAAACTGCCCCCTACCCTAGCCCCCGCTGCGAACAGTCATGGTTCAGTGACAGAGCAATGGCCTCGTAACTGTGAGGCCCCAGGATCAAAACCGTGTCGATGTGCTATATTAGTGCCCTTTTGTGGGGCATTAATCCTCATCACTGTCATTTATGACTTGAGGGCGTAAGTCCCCTAGTTAATAAGCATAGTAGCATACACATGCTTTAGCAGTCCCGCAAAACACACATTAGCAAATTATTATTCAATAAAATCTGAAAATGTATACTATTATCTAGATCTATTATTTTAAATAATTTTTAAAATAATTCCATAAATTGGGGTAATCCCTAAAATATTCCACCTTTATGAGCGACAGTGTATTTACTTCAATATCACTTAAAGATATGATAATGTTTTGTAAAATGCATTAAACGTCAATTTTGCATGAAATATGAACAAAAGCTTTCAATCAATCAATCAAATCAATCAAACACCGGGAATATGGTGGTAATAATAACACGAACTAATAATTCCCTATCAGATAACTGGCTGGAGTTTAGTTCACGTCATGCGCTATTTTTACGTCGAAAGTTCACACCTATCTCCTTTCTACCAGGACCATTTCTGTTACCATCATTCAGTATGTTTGTATATAACAATCTTACAGTGACTAACATATCCAGACAACGAATGCAAAGTCCATGTATGTACCAATGTTTGCATTACCATATCATGCAAGTCATCTCGTGTAATCTGCAAGTCATTTCTTTGCCCTTTCTATCTTATTGACCTATATATTAGGTTCAGTGTTTATTTTAAAACTTTAATTATCTTACCTAGCCTATTTCTCTTCGAAATATTATTGTTGGTGTCGTCAGGCAAAATGAATACTATAGTTAGCTTGTGATAATATCTAATAATCATTTTATAGATTTTGACTAAGGAGAAAGAGAAGAAGAAGACAAAATCACATTCTGTAGATTTTGACGATGCCTTTAAGAAATTAGTGACATTCTATTTAGCACGTATCAATTGTAGCCTTATACGGCTATAAAAAGCTTTTTATAGCCGTATAAGACTACAATTGATACGTGCAAAATAGAATGTCACTAATTTCTTAATTAAAAAGCTTTTTATAGCCGTATAAGACTACAATTGATACGTGCAAAATAGAATGTCACTAATTTCTTAAAGGCATCGTTTAACAATGTTAAATCTGAGATGCACGGCCCTACGTGTCATCAGTGTCTGTGATAGGGTGTAATATTGAAGCCGTTAACAAAAATTGCGCTCCAAAATAATCAAGAAGTGCCTCAAAAAAGTAAAAATCTTTGAGTGACTGGTTTTACCATAGTCGTTTTCCCCCATTAGACTGTAGTGTTGTGAAAACCGTTAGGAAAACGCAAAATTTGATTTCGATTTCCAATCAAAAATGGGGCTATCTTGATAATCGGACAGGCGATCGACTTGTCAAATTCATGGGGTTCTTGACTGACCTAAAGGTTTATAATTATCATTGCAGCATGAGCTAAATCCAGGTTTTTGTTTCAGAATCCGAGACAAAGTTTCCCAATCCCTTTAAGTCAGTGGTCACCTGGCACATAAGCATGGTTTGAAATGGACATATCCGCTCACACACTGCCATTTTTGTGTGGTTTATACAGATAAAACGATCAGTGTGATGTCATAATACATGTACATTTAACAGAATGTCTAGGTTTATAAATCGCATAAACACAATCGTCAAGAGTTTGTAAAAAATCAATTGAAAAGGATTTCAATATCCTTTTGCGTTCCATTTAAAAATCATGTACAGATTATGCGACATGCCATTCTAAGATGCGCATATTCTAATAGGGCAATTGAAGTTCCTAACTAGTGCGGTATGGTATGTAATCCCGTAGGATTTTTTTGATGTTTTGGCTTCAAAAGGGTCCCAATTGGCCCAAAATGATGGGGTTCAAATTTTCAGACCCTTCCTTCATTTCCTGGGGGTCCATATTGGGCGCCAAAATGACATATATAACGCGCAATAGGGAAATTTGGTGTCTTCGGGAAAATTTGAACCCCATCAATATCTGATAGCTTGGACCCCAATGAATCCAAAAATGCAACAACAACAAAAATCAACTTTGGCACAAAAATCCTACGGGAGCTGTTTCAGTGACATACCGTACCACACTAAACGTCATTGCTCTATACGTATTACCGCGTTCAGCCGATTCATGCATGTACAAGGTGATGTGCGCTCGAAATAATGATAATGAGTAATGATAATGAGGAAGAGGAGGAGGAGGAGGAGGAGGAGGAGGAGGAGGATGATACTAATACTACTACTGCTGATACTGTTATATTACTACTACTGCTATTACTACTAGTAGTCGTAGTACTATCAAAAGTACTACTAATACTCATAATAATAGTAATATTGACAATAAGAGGAAGAAAAAAAATGAATAGGAAGAAGAAGAAAGGGAAGAAAAAGAAAAAATCATGTTCTGGATGAAATCCGGCTCCTTTCTGATCTACCAACTTCACATTTAATAGGTTTTATACAAAGTGATAATTATAGCAATAGACGTATGATGACAAACATGACCATGCTGATGATAAAGAAGATAATGATGACATTACTGATGATTATATCTCACCTGCTCCTTCCTTCTATTGATAAATGGAATGAAAATGTGTGCAACCAGAGGAGAGTAAGAAGACACAGTGGCACACCTTTTATGCCGAGATTACGAATAACGGTTAACATAAATCAACGTAACATGGAACATTAAATCATCTTTTAGAGGCCAAGATCGAGAATGTGGCCTTTGGAACTTTGGCCTTTTCTCAAGGCAAAAATGTATTTTTTAAATATTTCATCATGAATAGCACTGGGCTTTTGAAAAGAAAAGAAATCTGGGTCGTAGGTTATTAAGAGTGGAAAAAAAAATCAGAGATTCAGATTTTCTTAAATGTTTTTTCTTCATGTACGCTTACAAGTGTCGCATGAACTGAATAATAAATATATGCTTAGTATGGGATGAAGGGGCCTCCTCTCAAAAACATTGCCTATACGTTGTTCACCCCCCCCCCCCCCTCCCCACCCTCCTCGAACAAAAAAATGCAATAAAAGTACTGGTTCATTATAACTGATAATTCTAGTATTTTTATTATCCGAGTTCAAGGCCTGTCTATGTATGTATTATCTACGTCAATGCAGGTTGGACTGTGGACGTGAGTGTGGAAGATGATGATGTGTTTGAAAGTTATATAATGTGTGTATTTGACTAGCATTGTTATACGTATTGTTTTGTGTGTTTTGGGGGGTATTGTATTGGTTTATTGAGATAAAAATCATCGGACATGCAGCTAAAAGCTGAAATTGTTAAATTTACAGAGTAAAAAGTACACGGCATAACATTACATTGACAACACATTAAAATAATTGTATATAACAATTAACAAATATTGTGTATATCTAAATACGATGTACAAGTTTCATTGATAATTGATGTGCATACACGAGGACAAAAATATAATAATTTGTCTGTTTTAGATAGGCCCGATGTGTATGTATTGTTTGAGGAGCCTGAGTATGAACTCCAACCACGTGATATTTGCAGAATATTGAGTAAATATTCGAACAGTTTAATAGAGTACCTAAGAGTTCAAAGTATACATGACTGTGCAATACATTAAAGGTGAACTTCAGTTCTGGTACTGATGGGAATTTGACAGGCCATTTTAATGCACAAATATGTGTTAAGTGCCTCGGTACAAAGACTGTACGTGTTGTTGGTTAGGACCAAGGAGTTTTAAGAGCTGGAGTCCTAACTGGCAACGAATTATTTCAGGCAGTTGCCATTTTCTAAGGTTGCACAATAGAATCTACAGGTGTGTTGTTACCTTCGATGTCCGAGGTTCGATGCCGCCAACATCAACTAAAAGCTTGAGTAGTGATTTGTTTTCAATATGCAATATCGTGAATATTTCACTTTATATTTGAACTAAAAAGGGGAAATCGAACAGAGAATAAAATATGAATATAAAAGCCTATTCGTGTCAAGACATTTGCTTACATTGTATAATAGCAGTTTTAATTTTGTGAAAAATATAAAAATTGTACAATCCTAAAAACCTGCAATTTGACACTTTTCCGATAACTATCTGCACACGAAAAATAAACAGTGAATTCGTTCATTTACGATGTTAAATGTCAGATTAGTGGCCTCTCTCCACCCAGGTGTTATATGGGTACCCAGTAGGATACGAAAGTTAATGTGGTTTGATGAGCAAGTGTGCGCTTGTAAAATGGCGACTGGCTGGAATGCTCCCCGGGGAGTGGAGAGTATGCATACATTGTCCTCGAGGGTAGTTGTCCTCGTGGGGTAATTGTCCTCGGAGGATAATTGTCCACGGTGGTAGTTGTCCTCGGGGGGGGGGGCAATTTTCCGGGGGGTAATTTTCCTTTGAGGTAGTTGTCCTCGGGATGAAATTCTCCGGGGGTTAATTTTCCGGGGCGTAATTGTCCTAAAATCATAACTTAAAGTTCATGTGTACGGGAACGAAGGCCTGGGATCGAGGCTAAAGGTTCACCGTGTGCATTTGTGTACTTGAGGGCATGTGTGCGTGTGGACGTAATGTGTAAATTGTAAAGCATGTTTGTGTGTGTTTCCGAGCATTACAGATGAAGATAATTTGACGAGGCCGAAAGCAGTTTGACGTGTGCTTTTGGCGTATTTTAGGGTAATGTGAGCGTGACTGTGCATTATTTTTGTGTGTGCTTCGGGGTATTGCAAATGAACAGATGTCCACGTGACCGAAGTCGACCTTCGATGGTGTGTGGGCGTGGATGTGTGAGCGTATTTGTGTTTCATTGTGTTCCACGGTGTCACGACCATGATCGGTGACAAGACCAAAATGTAAGATGATCCATTATCTTTTCACATTGATTTCCTCTCTCCCATTCTCTAGCTATGTAGGCATACTGTCTATTTCATTATGATTTAGTTCGTTTTGCCATTAAATTTTGGAGGCTTTCACCCCCCCCCCCCCCCCCCCCCGCACCCCCGCCCCTGTAGCTATGCCATTAGAGTGTAAAACAGCTGATTTTCACCCAACAAAATTGCACTCCGTCTTTATATCAAGGTAATAGTACAAGAATAACAGTTTCCTTTTATATTTATTTTCATACAACTGCCTGTTTACACAATCATAATTTACAAAGTAAAAACTTCATCGTCATTCTTTCTACACTTACATTTTCAAAAGGTATATTTAGCGCATCATACGGTTTTTAAAAAGGAAGCATAGTCGTAATCAAATTTGTATTCATTACATAAACATGCAGTTACATTATAAATTAGTTTACAATATGAAGTTTGATATTCATAAGGAGAACGTTGATTGGGGGATAACTCTTACTATTACTGAACACACCACTCATATAAACTATCACTTCAAAATAAATTAATTGTAGATATTATTATGCAGTGGTATGAATATTCTAAGGTCATCTGAAGGAAGAAGAAGACACCAAGAGGGAGGGGGGTAAACGAGAGCTAATATGGTATTTGAAGGAGAGAGGAAATGTAGAGTGTAGAAATTTATGCTGTCAATTTGGCCTTTTTGTTAATTGTCTTGCATTAACACTTGCTTAACACTGTTGCAAAAATGATTACCGTTATATTTGAATGCATGAAAATGAAAAGAAGAAAAAAGAAAGGGAAAAACATTGGCAAGTCAATTGTATAAAATTACTGAGTAGAATCTCTTTATATTTATATAAGACGTAATATAACATTATTTTCCAAATATCCAATATTTACTTCAGCCCCTCTGACAAAGGTTGATAGAGAAAAGTGAATTCATTATATATTATATACCTCACTTAAGAAATCCAGCCATCTGATTGGTCGAATTGCATTCATAAACTTCAACTGTTCCTGTAAAATTCCCGGTAACCATGCATAAAACATTTCAATATTTTTAATAACCATGGTTATTAAAAAAATAGGTCAGTCTCCATGGTTACCCCATAGGTTTACATGTTAAAAAATGGTTTGAGCGATGGAGGATACCATACGTGTGCGAAAAATTGGTCGGCAATTTCAATACAATTGAATCTCGATCGATCTTACCGACAATTTTATCTTGCATTGTTGACATGAAGACGAAAATTAACTCTCAAAAACAAAAAAACAACATCTGCCGATAGATCTTGATCTAAGTTCGTGCCAATATGCATTGCAAAAGTAAAAGAAGAGTCCGTATATGGAGCTTTTGCGAAGCATTCATCACACGCGAAGCCGGTTTCAATCCATTTTAATGTATATATAGTACAAAACTGCCAAGCATTTTGATAGCGCGCGATGGCCGAGAGGTCTGAGGCGCTGACTGAAAATACAACACCTTTTGTACGCAAGAGTTCGAATCTCATCTTCGACCAAAAAAAAAGTATTTTTTATTTTTTATTTTTTAGTCTATTTTTTTCGGCATATAAAAGTATTAATGACTGCTTTAATATTCGAGAAATAGTTGTTTTCATACGCTCTCGGGAAGGTTACAATTGGGCTATTCCCCTCGGCAAGCCTCGGGGAATAGCACAATTCTAACCTTCCCTTGAGCGTAATAAAACAACTATTTCTCTCAAAGCAGTCATTAATACTATAATATTGACCATACGATTTGACTGAAAATTTGACTGATATAATCTTATAAATCGCAATTACATTACATATGGAATTTTAAACAAGTATAATCTTCTTGACTTAGGTTCTCAATAATGGTATATATATAATTGAAATTGAAACTTCGTGAGTTGTAAGCCTGATGGTCTGAGTAAATGTCAAATCGGCTTCAAATCGTAGACTATGACACCACTGGTCTGACGTCACAACGATTCAGAGCCGATATGGCTTTCCCTTCTACAAGAGTAAGCGCAATTTCCCCAAAAAATATCAATTTATACATTATGATATGACAATTCAGAACCTCGATCGTCAACATTTTACATATTTGAATATTCATTTAAAATGGTATCGCAAATTATTCCGAAATCGGGTCGTAGTCACAATGTGCGATGGACTTTAGAGAAATGAGTTTCAGGATAATAACTCGAAGATGATACATCGAAACTACTCGAAGGTTAACTCAAGCCCGGTGCCTGCCAGCTCCTTTTCGTACAGCTCATCAAATCTCTTGTTCTGCTCCTCAGTGAAACAGTTCTTCCAATCTCCGATGATGCCTGGTAAGGATGTACAGCGTGTGACAGAAGAAAAGAAGAAAACCAGTAAGTAAAAACGCAAAGTAAATTGAGGGCTTGATGCATGCGGGGTCATAGAAGGTCGTATTCATGGAAAGAAGAAGAGGGGAAGACCTCGTAAAGGCTTTCTAGACGATGTAATTACAGAATGTAGAGCAACAGGGTATGAAATGTTGAAACGGATGGCTCAAGACCGAGGAACTTGGATAGACTCTTGATATAAACATTTTATTGGGTCACTGAACCTGTCATAAACTGACGGATCACTTTTGATGATGATAAGGTCCATTGCGCACGTGATGTCATTTCGATTGCGCAATTTCCTGCGCTATTTCCTGCGCTAATGAAGGCTGTTACGGCAATAAGCCTATACGTCAATAATTTTTTAACGATGCTACATTCACTTCATGGTGCCCAACTTGGACCAAGTCCATGCGTTAGTGCCCTTTGGTAAGGCATTAATCCTCAATACCAGGTCCCTCGGAGAGCCGTCGGTCCTCTGGTCGCTTACTAACAAGCATTCATGCTTTCTTAGCAGTAAGGTAAAATATT